ATTGTATGGGCTCATCCGACACACTACTGGTGCATTGTTCTCCCATAGATCGTATCACTTTTGGTTCTTTGAGTGACATCTCATCTCTAGGATGCATATCGTTGATTGTCTTCAGCCAAACCTCAGATGGTAGCCCACAACGGAGCATGTACCAGCTTCTTAACATCCGTGCTACCACATGTTTTGACTGAACACTCAGACTCACTCTCAGAACACTTGCTTTGTAGTTCCGTGAGGTACGGTCGTGACACGGATTTCGCTAAAACCTCATCCAAGCAGAGTGTTTCACGAATATAACACACTGTTCTTTATCATTGGTTGTTACTTCATGCTCATCAGCTTCAGTTTCAGGAACCCTGTGAAGAAGTGTGGTTCTGGTTGAAGTTTCCTTCCGGTAGTCCTCTAAGGTGTGATTAACTGGATAACGCTCGATCCATGGAATGTCTGGAAAGATACGGATGGAACACTGTTCATTTCCGAGACTACCTGTCGACAGTAGTACTGATTTAGTGACGGAGTTTAGCACAACGCACAGAAGTCCTGGCTCTCCGAAAGGCTTAAAGTTGGGGTGTCGTGTAATACGCACTACGTGTACAGGTTTCAGTCCAAGTCCGATTAGGTAACTAATAATATCCCACTGGTTGAGATCATCCAACTGCCTGCCTCTTATTAATGTCGACTTTGATTCTGTGATACTAGAGCACAGTACGCTCAGTACAGGTAGTTGCTTCTTAACACCTTTCGACATTTCGCGGTTAGTGATTGAAGTACTCGGAGATGTACCGCAGGAAACCGGTGGTGCTTGCACTAGGAAAACTCTGCTTCGCTCACCAGTTTCCGATCCAGTTGGGGGTGATGTTAATTTTAAATGACGGCTCTTCTTGGAGTCAAACATAACCAAACTTTCCCTAGTACCGGCTTGCTCTTTTTCTATGCACTCCGTCGGGAGTTTGGAAGTAGCCTTACGTGTAGTTACTCCGATCAAACTGGGAACCGCATTAGTCGAATGTGAGCCACGTGTGGTATTAGGACAGCTGTTGATGTTCTGGACTTTAGGTGTAGTGTTGCTTACGGTGTTATTAGCAGTTCTTCGCGGGATAGGAGGTGCAACCAAGGGGGAGGGTTGGGTTGCACAGTCTGCTATGCTTACCCCAACCGTAGTGATTTTGATGGTCAACATTTCCTCAAACTTGGCTAGTCATACTTCTGAGATAAGAGGTTCACGCTTTTTATCAGCGGGATCGATGTGCATTCCACACAGAACCATAGCGAGTCTGGTTTGTTTAATAACTTGGCCTGACTAGGTTTAATTCGGAGGCATCTCGCATGGAAGAACTTGCAACAGTACCGGCACAAAATACCCCTCTTAACAAGTTTGGAACATGATCCATATAGGGCTTTAGGCTGTGGCACACTGGGCATCGCGCTTGTTGAGCAAATGTTACGAACCATTTGAATGATTCACACTCTATGGTAAAAAGTTGTTCTGTTCCTGACGTTGTCCGTAAGGTCACAGTGTTCACGTTGCAGTTGTGTGCTTGCAGATTGTCCTCTCTGGCGTGCCAGTCAAATGTGTCAGCTTGAAAGTGGGGCAGAATACACGAGGGTGTGATTGAGAATTTTCGTGGTTAAGCGTATGCGTCGCACCGCGTGAATTTGCTTTGAGACTTGTAGCTACACCAAGCAATGTTAGATTCGAACGAGTGACAGTTCGTTCGAAAGCCGTTGAAATGGTCTATCGAGTGAGACCAAACAATGTCTCCGATGGTTGGAGTTAAGCAACTTTTGACGCTTGGATATCGGCGAAACACTGCCCGGAATTTAGAATTCAGGGTAAATGTAGGATGCACTGGAGTATACTCGGGAAACTGGTATCACAAAGTAGAGCTTGTAAAAGCACGACGAATAAGTATGGATCCAAAGGTGTGCGACAAAATGTCGCACGCGAGTTCTCTGAAGGTCAGAGGGGTTTGACTGAGTTCCACACAGGAAATCTGATAACCAAGAGCGCATTTTACAACAAAAAGACTTCTAGAACACAGAAAGAGCGGTGCTACAAGGAATTTGGTTACATTTCGAAATGGAAATGAACTCGTGCGACTCATTGATGGACAACAAATTACATTCGACCGCAAAGAAAAGCATCAGCACCGCGGAGGTGCAATCACCTACATTATCAAAAATTTGTGTACATCAGTTTCACAGCTGTCTGCTTCCCTAACGGCTTCAATAAGTCATCATAATGAATCTACGTTGTAAACCGTGGTAATAATAGAACACCAAATGCAGACCAGCAAATATTTAAAGTCCCTATACCATCCAGATAGCAGTGTCAGACCGTCTGCGTGTGTTTGCAAAATTTGTACACGAGCATTGTATCAATTAACAAATGCCAACACGTACAACTGTACTCTAAAATTTTCGGTTATTTTTGTTGTTCTGTGAAACCCCCTATTGAACCGCTGTTCGCAGATGTGGTGGTTTATGCAAATAACAACTGGCATGGGTGCGAACAACGAACGACTGACCCGGGTGGGATAAGCAGTGCTTACACAACTGCTGCTAATCTATCGGTGATCTTGCCGGAAATATTTCCCTTGACATCCTGGTAAACGTAAGTTGTACATTCCCTATGTGCCTCGGACAGTTCGCACTGATCATCATGCCGCGCGGCAAATGGGCGTCCATTCGCCCGCGCTGATTTTACGTGCTAGGCACTTGATCAATAGTCACAACCTTGACCCATGGCGGTCAAGCCTGCTACGTCCTTATCAAAATCCTTAACCATCGGCTCACCAAACGCCAACAGATACGCGAAAAATCATAATCGCGCGGTTGTACTACAATTCGGCAGCGAAACCGGTTACGCGAAGCGACCACGCGCATTGTTTGCCTTGGGCGCTACAGTGTCCCTCCGAATGCAGAACTGGTTATTCCTAGCAGCGTATAAAGTGCACTCTGACCCAATATCCCAATAACGTGAGCATAATACTCATCCACTGACCGGTGGCTTACTGACCGCGCAAGGATCTGCATACCAATTATTGTTGATGCATCAATCCCTTGTGAATTTTTGATGCCTTCCGACAACTCTCAGTATTCCGGCAATTCACTTTCCAGACATTCTACGTTTCGGAATGATGAAACCTTATCTGCATTGTCTAAGGTTATTCATGAATGAGTAACGCACGACGTACACCAATGCGAAGTAGAGGATACGCTACAAATGCCACTCGCACATGTATCATTGGAAGTCAGTCTCATGTCATTTACTAACGCTGGACATTAGATATCGCTGCAACCGCCGTACGAATGTATACTCATACGTACGTGCATACATATTTCGCCGAGGCTTTGAATATCCTCGTGTCCCTACCTGCTCCTAGTGGTATACGCCATACAACCAGATGTCAAAAGTGATGAGCTGGAAATGAAATCAAGGCGTCATCTTTTTAAAAATCAGGAAAATGTACACGGATGTGTCGAATCGTATTACCACATCCTGCGACACTGATCTCACTGGTTGCTGTTTTGGCAATGCGTTCCCGAAGCTGCAATCTCCATTCCAGTTGCGTCATGAGGTTCTGAGGATCTCGGCCAGAAGTTCGCCGTATAACATTCACATTTCATTCTTTACTCGGGCCTTCCCCAGCTGCCAAACATTTTCGATGGGATTGAGGAACGGGTATGGGTACAATCTCAGAATGGCAACCCCTTCGTATCATTCGACTGACGCAAGTGTTTCCAAACGTCTGTGACATGGTGCATTGTCAGACACTATTACCACCTGCCGGAGCTCCACTTCCCGCTTCAGCTTGTCTAAACTGCCTCGCAGCTATTCGAGAGATAGGGGGGGAACGAATGAGCCTCTCCGTGTAGTCATCGAAATGTTTCCATCTATTATGGGTGCACCGATGATATGTAAATTCAGGCCTCTACCGTTTCTCTACTTTGACACAGGCCATCTGGGGGCCCGACCATAGGTACGTTTGCGGTAAAGGTTGAAGTTTGTTTCGTCGATACATATGAAGGACTTCCCTACTTTAACTTCGAGAAACTTTGGACAAATTCCTTTCGTATTGCTTTGGTTCGATCATTGTCCGTTCCTTCTGAAGTCTGATGAGTATTCTTCATATTTACCAAACGGCCATCCAGGTGTCGTGCGATTTAGACTGAAATGTTCTTATCCATATCGGCACGTACTCGGACTCGCATTTCGTGTAGTGTTAGTCGTGGGTCCTTTCCCATCCACTCCAGGATGTCATCAATCTCTTCCTCCGACAGAATGCGCTTATTACCATGAGGCTGCATAGTATCCGGCTGCTGATAAAGAGAGCGACGAATCCAGAAGTGGGCAGTTTGATATTTTACATTATTCACGGTTGCCACGAGCTGGCGGTCGTCACCGTTGACGAAGGCATCCAGAACTCGGTCACGAATGTCTGACGAGACACTCTGTCGAACACGAGAAGGCATGTTGACCACGCTGAAATGAAATGCATCCTTTCAGTTTTGCGCTTATGTTCCGGCCATTCATTTCTCTCAGACCAATTGTGATCCATCGTTTCGGACGTGAGGGACGGGGCGGCTGGTAGCTCGTGGCACCGCCCACCTCCATGGACTCGAGGTTCATTCACAAGTCTCACATAGTCAACGGGCAGCGCGCTCCCTTCACGACTTTCGCAGCAAACCTTAGCACCCGGCCAGTGAGAACACGCTTGAAGTCAGGAAATTGGTTCAGAGCGGCTGGCGAATCGCACAGGGTTTCGCAAACTTTTGCGCTTTCTTTTTAAAACTTTGATCATTTTATGCAACTTTGCGGAAACGCTATATTATGCAGATTAGAAAGATCTTGGTTAAGTTTAAGTTGGTTTGCCCAACTACGGGTTGTGACGTAAAATTATGATCAGCTTGCAATAGGTGGTCATGTTAACGTGTTTGTCATTAGAAAAGCGGTTTGCTGCTCGTGTGTAACTCACTTTACTTTCTCTGTTCGGCAGGGTAGCGCCATATGAAAAACTCAATAAAAACAACTACTTCACCCTCAGTCTTCATGGATGTACACACATTACGACAACGGATGAAATTGAATACGTTCCTCTTGATCGGTTCGAGAGCGAATACAAGGCTTTCATGGAGATCCGAAAGGTACGTATTTGTCTTCGATTCTTCTACAGTAGGCATAAACACTATCTATTTGAATGCATTTGGTTGCTGTCGCGTTGGTCAATACTCGTTAGTTGAAACAATACATCATACCCTATCTGCCGAACTGGACAAGCTTCCAGACAGTTTCATGAAATTCATTGGCCCTGGACACTGCATTGTTGTATACAGACGAGGTTATTCATTTCGCAACCCCTGTTTTGTCCGCAGCCATCGGCTGTGTATTTCACATTAAGGGACAGATTTTTATTATTTTATGGCACGAAAAGAAGTCACTTTCTGATGTGACAACTATTCATGGGCCCTAATTCGTTCGTAAAGAGCGGGCTTCATTTTGATGCAAGTGACCTTCGTGCATCTCTGTAAGAATGTACTACCGGTAGTAACGAGATGCTTTTGTTTTGCTCATATTTCTTTTGGTTCAACATACATATGCCAGCCAATAACATGCTAGCAACTTGGGTTGCTCCAGTATTCGGCTTTCAAATTTTTTCACACTCCGAACTTCGAACCATTTATACTAGCGTTGCTTATATGATATTCCAGTCTACTATATAAGATCTCATTTTGTCACGTAAGGCTTGCTTGAAATATGAAACTACGAGGCAGCCTAAGATGACATGCTGATGGACAATTCCCATAAAGCACAATAAACACAGAAGAAGGATTTATCACGGGTAAAAAGCAGGCGCTTGACAAGTCCCCTAAGATGATTAGAATGAAGAGAAACAGATCAAGGGATAATTGAATCATCGGTTTAAGCAACTACTGATTTAACTACATTGTTATATAACGATAGCTTGAAGGGAGAATTGATTGTGCGTACACAAAGCAATATGGGGAGCGATTGTAGTCCACGGAAGACGTGAGAAAAAAATGAATAATGTAAATTACAACGCTTACTCGTATGCAGCGTTCTTGGGCAGACGGGATACGTAAAGTCAATTTCTACAGTAATAGCATTTAACAAACTACTGAATACTGAATACCGTATTATAGAGCATGTAGAAATGAATTCTGTACAACTCTTTTGAAATATGGTGAAAAACGTCATAAAAGTTGTCAACCGTGAATATCGTTGTCGTTCTCATGTAACATTTAAAATATCTGACTCACGGTATTGCAGGACTCACAAATGTGATATGTCATCGTAAGTGTGCAATCGTTCTCTGAATCGAATAAGTGGTAAAATATAAATCTAACAACGTTTTAAACTACTGCACAGATGTTGACTCCATCACATATACAGGTAAACTGTTCTAAATATTAACCACTCTCTGTTCGAAGCACAATGGGTGGGGAACACGTTTCACCTCCGGCACGACAAGTTTGTGTCTGTGTCCGCGTGTGCTGCATGGCCCTCGTAAGTGCAGCATTGGCCGAAGCATGGGGAAGTCACCCAGATATAGAATGCGGTAGGTTATATTGAGATCGACTCGCACCCGACGGTGGGACAAGTTGTAGAGTCCTAGTTTCCCGCACTGGTCTTCATACCCCAAGCCACGTAAACTCGGGGTGAGCCTGGTAGCAACGTGTGGGCCCGTTCGATCTTTTGAGTCTCGCCTCGGGTACTCGGAAAGTAGGCGGGTGAACCGTACTCTAGCATTGATCTAATGATGGAAGAGAAGAGGCGAGTGGCAACCTCTTCAGACCATGTGCCGAAGCTACGTTTCAGCGCCCAAAGCATGCAAAATCCGTTACGATATAGCCCGTTAGTGATGAAGGTGAAAATGCCTACGTTGAATTGTAGTGCTGGGTTGACACCCGAACACATAGGGTTAAATGGTATAGTGTAGGTGTATGAGAGCATGATCGAGTGTTTTATTGAATACCGATAATGTGGGGGAGGGAAGAAACAATGTAAGTGGAGAGGGCGTCCTTTGGTTGGCACGCGCAAAGTGAAAAGATATTCCAGCGACATTCCAACCGCCTATACTGCGTGGTCAGCTTTAGCTGGCGACCTCTCAGTGTGCAATTGTGATTCAGCTTCAGAAGACGAGTACAAGCATGGTTTGGATACATTCAGATATAAAATGTTAGCAAATCGCCACGCAGACGTCGTTATTGTCTACTGTAGACCCCAAGGGTATTCAAGCTCACTTGGTAAGGGAGATGGAACAGACCCTTTACCTTCTTGGCCCCGCTCCTTGTCGCAATTCAAGTGCGGTTAGGTCGTGCTTGTGCCAGAGCTGCCAAGTGTGAATGGCGTAATCCGGATGTGGCCTGGTGTAGGTATTGAGTATCTGAGAGAAGATTACAGGGTCAAAACACCCGAATGCTCCCCGCAAAAGGCCAAGGTGTTGGTTGGCTTTTTGGACACCTCGGCCTGACGTGAAGAGCCAAGATCCTCTTGTACTAGCGCAGCTAGATCGCATTCAGTAGCAGCAAGCTGTAAAGCTTGATCCCCCAGCCTGTGCTCGCAAATGGATCGATGACGTGTACTCAATATCCTACATTTGGTGGCATTGAAATGAAGCAGGTTCTGAGTCGCCCATTGGTATGCCCCATCAAGGTCATCAGGAAGCTCTACGTGTTCCCTCATTTCTTTGATGGCTCATCATATCTTGAGATCATCAGCGCATAGCAAGCCATTGGAAGTCATCACTGTTGTAAGATCGTTTATGTAAATCAGAAATGGGCGTAGATCAAGTAATGAGCCCTGTTACACTCTGCACTTACTATCGATAGTGTCAGTGATGGCGGTGCGAACTCTCACACTCAGATGTCGTTGAATCAAAAAGTTACCGATCCAACTGCGAAGTGGGCCACCAATTCTACAGCTCTGAAGCTTGTGAATGAGGATGCGATTTTTCAGACGGCTAAATGACTTTGAGAAGTCCAGATAGCCTGTGTCAACTCCAAGAACGCTTTCAACGATTTCAGTCCAACTGGAACGAGCAAGCAGTAGGTCTGTGGTGTAAGACCGTTTCTGGCGAAGTCCATGCTGTTCCGGTACTATGATTTTGCATGTTTCTAATTCATAAGCAAGTTGGTAATGGTAGACTTCAGTACTTTGGATAGCACCAGCAAAAGTGTTATCGGGTGATAGTTGGCTCGATCCGCACAAGTCCCCCTTTGTGAAGTGTAGTGACGATTCCGTGCTTACCCATTATGGGAACACATATCTCGTCCAGACGTCGTTGGAAGAACCTAGAGATTGGATCCATTAAATTAAATGTAGCTAATTTCAGCGCCTTTGATCGGATATTGCCAGCACCAGGAGAGGTATGCTGGCGTAGAGAATTTAGCCTTTTCGGTACATCTGTAGCCGTAAATGAGAGAAGACTAAGTCCTGGGGGTGATCTATTTTGCGTGAACAGCATTGGCGATTAAGTCTTGTTCTGGAAGTTTGGGAAGAATTGAAGACATAGGGCGTTGGACGCTTTGGTTGCAGTTTGTACTAGTCCATTTGGCTTGCGAAGAGCAGAACTACCTCGTTGCACATGTCCGTAAAGGAGCTTTGGGATTAAGGAGAATTTATCGGCCAGATCCTGTTAATGTGTAAGCTTATCTTCGCGCACCTGGTTCACTCAGTGATTTCGCTGGATAGTATAGGCTTCCTTGTTTCGGCACACGGTGACTTCTTGTACTTTTGCCAGAATGAATCTCTTGTGGCCATACGCTTCCGCGTCCTACTGCGTTTGAACGGCATTACTCGCATCGCGCCCAGGGGCATGCTACTCGAAGCACTGGCTACTAACTTGTTAACTTGATAAACAAGAGCCCACCAGGCAACATCGGAAAATAGTTCAGTTAGAAAAATCCAGCTGGTTGCATTAATAAGTTGTCAGAACGACGTAGTCCGTAATAAGCTAAGAGTCGTCAGCGTTTTCTGTGGAGTGCTCTGCATAACAGATGTAGTTGAACAAGAGTGTTGCGTGATCGCTGCGGCCTAAGGGACTAGCTATAAATATCGTTTCGATCATGTCATCGTTGGTGAACCCTATATCGAGGATTCTTGGTTTGTTCCCGCCCTGGATCCTGTGGGAGAGGCAACGTGAATGTATAATGGTAATCCAATCATTACCTCATACAACTTCATTTTGAATTTTCCATCGAGACAGGCTGTTGCTATGGCGTGAAGATTGAAGTCACTCACCTGGAGAATGTGAATGCGTGCCTGTGCGAGGATACTTTTCATAATAGAACCTAGGCGTTTGTGCACTACTAAAGTGGACGACGGAGAGTAGTGTACGATATCCGCTAAGCATGTGCCAAAGCGCACGGACAATCTGAACATCCGGTTCATCGATTGGACCAAGATGTAGATTACGGCGGTAATAGAGTAGCACATCATCTCCTCTATTCGGCCTATGGATCTAATCGCCAACCTGGACATTGGGTTTCTTCGCGGTCTCTGGAACTTATAGATGCTCGCCGGCAGATTCCGGCTGGAAGCGAACACAATGAAACTCGCAAATAGCTCCGGGCAAAAAACCCGTGCTAGCCTGAAGAGAGACCGCGAATCCTGATGGTCTCATCGTGCGACAGAGATGGAAATGGCCGCTGCCCTTGGTAACCATAGTAACTTATTCCGGCTGATAGGAAAAACAGACAGCAGGAGTCCTGGGGTTAGTGGAACCGTACGTGACGAGAGTGGATAGCTTATCCACAACTTGTCAGAACGCTTGGAGCGTTGATCTGAGCATTTTGAAAAGCAATTTAATGGGTCGGAATTATTGGATTTCTCGCCGGCCACTGATCACCTTGCTCCCCGGGCTGTCCCTTTGGATCCACTTTCTCGCTCAGAAGTCGAACGTGAGATCGCACCGTTGAAGATAAATAAAGTCGCGGGACCAGATGATCTACCTCCAGCCCTCCTCAAATTTGGGGGACCTACTCTTATGAATGATTTATACGAGTTAATAGGGAAACTGTGGGAGCAGGAAACTGTCCCAACCGACTGGAGCCGCTCCGTCAAAATCCCAATTTTCAAGGGAGGCTCACCGTCGGAATGCGTCAACCATAGAGGAATCATTCTG